TCTTTGAAATTTTGTGTGGTTCTTGATGCCCTAAAAAATATACTTGGTAAGAAATTCTTTGTTTATTGCACGTACACCTCTGTGAGGAGGACGATAGGTGAGCAATTATATATCGATGACACTGCGGCTAGCCCAGGATTCGAACCCATGTTTGTTCTCGTGGGTTAGAGCGTCTCGTGTGACTTTTCGATCATGAAGCGAGCCAAAACGACATGGGTTCGAATCATGGGCTAGTCGCAGTTTTGTCGATTTAATGCTACTAGTTTGTGCTTACAATAAATATATATATGTCGTGCCGAATAGGCAGAACTTGCGATCTTGGTTTAAATAGCAACGCTCATCTTGCCATATGAAACAAGCTAAAATTTGTGTATGCAATAATTTCGCAAAAATCATTCTGAACCTAACGAAAAAAAAAATTCATTGATTTTAGTGTTAAATTTTTGTAAACGTATCTAAAATATATTTAACCGGATAAGGCTAAAATAAATTTCGCTTGTTATAATAAGGTTAGGTAAGTTTTCTAACATTCTTTTGGTACAAAATTGGTTATTTTTACATTAAAACTAATGAAAAATTATCTTAAAACGTTTAAGAAAATTTTAGAAAGGACTTGATTTTAAGAGTTCTGCTAATTGATCACCCTCAAGGAAGGTTCCTTGATGTTGGTGAGGGGCTCTTGATTTAGGGAATTGGGTCTGTTTTCCAGTTCCCCGGATTAAGCCTGAATGCCTTCCACATCCCCCCCCCCAGGCGCTGTATAATCCTCCGGGTTTAGCGATTCCCCCTCGATTATAATAATAATAATGCTAACTGACCAATTTTACATATTAGGCACGACATTAAAATAAATTATGTATCTATCTATCTATCTATCCCACACAAGTTTTGAAGTCTAACGTGGTACTAAAATTTTGGGTACCAATCAAAAATCCTTAACCAGGACTAATGGGAAAAGGCAAAAGATTGGTGAAACGTCTTTACATAAGACGTTTCGTAATGTCACGTCAACATGACGTTAAAACTAAGTCCCTCCTCGAGAATCTTTCGTAATTTTACGGAAGTCAAACGTAAGGAATTCAAGATGGCGCCGCCAGAGGGTCGTCAGTAACATCGGTCAACATTCACAGAAGAATGTTTATTACCAGTTCTAAATCTTAAATGCATAACAAATGTATAAAACGTGTATAAGTCATGGTGCAGGTAATGCATCACAATGAGCAGCACAAACAAGCAGGTGAAACATAAAATCTAAGTATATCGCATTTTTTAAAGTTTTTTTTTTACACGAAACTTCAATTTACCGATTTTTTTTTTTTAAATTACTAATTTAGTCCCCCTAGGATCGATCTATTAACAGATACTGTAAATAATATACGTCCGTACTGTTTGTTTTATGAATGTGCTGTATAGTCCTTGTGGCTTAGCGCTTGTTTTTGATTATAATAATTTATGAATAATGTGCATCTATACTGTGTATAATATACATCTATACTCTGTATACGTGAGTACTGTAAATAATACACGCCTATACTATGTATAATGTATATAAACTACCACTGGGATTCTAAATGTTGCTGTTTACAGATGAGACAGTTTAATGAGAAGTGAAGAATGGGGATAAAATTCACGACTAATAGAATCTATGGGAATGGTCACACAAGTGGCTATTAGAGTTTAACCCCCAGTAGTTGAAAAATATTGAAGTGAGGGCTGAAGGCGATCGACAGTAAAGGAATGAATCGAGACTAACGAGGCCCCTCGAGGGAGGTTTCTTGACGTTGAAGGGCTCTTGATCTAGGGAACTGGATCTGTGCTCCAGCTCCCTAAATTAAGCTTGAATACCTTCCATCCCCCCCCCCCCACAGGCGTAGTATAATCCTACGGGTTAATAAGACTACAAAGGCTGACGGAGGTACATAGCATATCTTCGTCTTAAGGAGAACAGACTTCCCCACCAGTCAAGTATACCAATCAAGTATACTCTTATTGTATACACACTGAGGCATACACTTCTCTGTATATTTCCTTTCAAGTGCGTGAACGAGCCGCCTTATTACTCGCCATGAGTCTTACACACGATAATGGCTCCTTCCCCTAAGCTCTCATTAAGTCGTTAACTACTGAAGGCTATTTACGTGGGCGTTACTGACGTGTGTAGGGGAGACGTGACGTGCCAAGTGCGGGGTAAAAAGTCCACAATACCGTGGGTGCAGCAATCGCAATTAACCTGTTAATGTAGTGGCTGCAACACTTCATAAATAACCCACAATACTAACCTGCAATACTGTGGCTGCAACAGCTCACTAATTTGCAATATCGTGGCTGTAACAATTCATAACCCACTCTACCCTGGCTGTAACAGTTCACATCTAACCCACAATACCTTGGCTGTAACAATTCACATCTAACCCACAATACCCTGGCTGTAACAGTTCACATCTAACCCACAATACCCTGGCTGTAACAATTCACATCTAACCCACAATACCTTGGCTGTAACAATTCACAACTAACCCACAATACCCTGGCTGAAACAATTCACAACTAACCCACAATACCCTGGCTGTAACAATTCACAACTAACCCACAATACCTTGGCTGTAACAATTCACAACCCACAATACCCTGGCTGTAACAATTCACAACTAACCCACAATACCTTGGCTGTAACAATTCACAACTAACCCACAATACCCTGGCTGTAACAATTCACATCTAACCCATAATACCCTGGCTGTAACAATTCACATCTAACCCATAATACCCTGGCTGTAACAATTCACATCTAACCCACAATACCCTGGCTGTAACAATTCACATCTAACCCATAATACCCGTCATTGTAACAATTCACAACTTACCCTCAATAACCTGGCTGTAGCAAATTACAACTAATCCACAATACCTGGCTGTAACAATTCACAACTTTCCAACAATATAATATTTTGTGCACGAATGCTTTAAGGGAAAAGTGGACAGAATGATACGTGGGTGAACTATAAGATTCTCTCTCTCTCTCTCTCTCTCTCTCTCTCTCTCTCTCTCTCTCTCTCTCTCTCTCTCTCTCTCTCTCTCTCTCTCTCTCTCTCTCTCTCTCTCTCTCTCTCGTTACCTCCTCTTTCTTTCCTTCCGTCTCCCCTCCTCAGTGTACTCACTCGCCATCACTATAATTTGCCACAAGATTACCTTTCCATCTTGCTAACACTTTTATATTTTGTTGTTGTCAGGGAACACATACGTCTGTTACACACTAACATATATATAAATGTCGTGCCGAATAGGTAAAATTGATCTAAAAATAGCTCTTATACGTTTGAAGATATATATTTTCGAAGATATATGCTAATGTAAAAATGATTAATTTTGTACCAAAAGAACCTTAGAAAATTTACCTGACCTTATTATAACAAGCGCAGCTTAATTTAGCCTAATCCAACTAAATATATTTTAAGTAAGTTTACAATAATTTAGTAAACAAACACAATGAAATATATATTTTCGTTAGGTTCAGAATGATTTTTGCGAAATTATTGCATACACAAATTTTCGCTTGCCTTATTCGGCAAGAAGAGCGCTGCTATTTAAGCCAAAATAGCAAGTTTTACCTATTCGGCACACCACCACCATCACCAACTACCACCACCACTATCACCAATCACCAACAACAATCGCCACCACCATTTTTATTATAGTGGAGGAGCGCTAAACCCATAGGGTTATACAGCGCATGTGGGGGGGTGGAAGGTATTCAGCCTCAATTCAGGCAACTGCAGCACAGATCCAATTCCCTAGATCAAGAGCCCCTCACCAGTATCAAGGAACCTCCCTTGAGGGGACCACCACCACCATTACTGATAAGTGTATAACCCCGAGTATCCTTGTTCAGTGCACTTTACACTTACCACAATGGAAGGTTAAGTAAATTATTACCACCAGCTACGCCCTCTTTGAGTGCTTCCGGTAGTCACAGAAACTTGTAGGATATACACACCAAGAGATGTATTTCCCTCGGTGAATATACAGAGAGAGCTTAGTACAATCCACTATTTTAGGAGTTAAGTATCCTTGACTGGTGGTGAACAGGTGATGTTGCAGCCTTAATGACCCTCGTATAGTTGATAGGCTTCAAACCCCACTAACCAACCAACTTATACAAGTGTGACTCGAGGTGTGAATGTAATATTAGAATGTATGTGATTACCCAATTAGGAATACCAGGATAGAACCTGCATATGTTATCGTGTCTTTTGTTACTGCTTGTAACTAATGGAATAGGAATTTTTGAATTCTGTTTAGGCCTAGTTTTTAGGTTATTAGGCCTAGTTTGTAGGTCTTTTGTGTATGTATTTGATACCTTCCACAGGATTGATATGGGGTGCGCAATAAACTAGCCACTAACATTCACAGGATGTTTAGATATGCCCAATAAATCAGATTCTACCTCAACAATATCTAAAATGACGTACACAGAGGGGGAGAAAGTGAGTACAGAAGCGAGGAAAGTGAATAGGAAGGTGAAGAAATAGTGATTTTGAAGTTAAGACAGTCATGGTTCTTTCAGTGTTATGGTGGTATTTTGCCCGTCAGGAAACGAAGGTGTTAGACTCAAGTCATTAAACACCCGCTGACTTAGCAGTGCTGGGTACAGCTGATGCTGTACGGCCTGCTACTTGATAATCCTTCGGCTAACATTTGTAAATACAGTGATATGTTGTTTCGTGCACTTAGCTGGTTGCTCTTGCCCGAGTGAACCCACACGTTACAGCCGAGTTGGTACAGCTGTGTACACGGTGTGGGGAACCTGGAAGCTCAACCCCGTCAAGCACAGCTGTGTACACGGAGGTGTGGAAAGCTAGAGAGCTCTACAACATGCTAACCAACTTAACTTACTAGTTATCATGTTAGCTTTAAATTATTGCATTGTTTTAGCTAGTTATCTCGCGTTACTCCCGTATTGGAAAAGATGAACCGTGTGAAATTATATTGTGTATTTCCAGGTGTGTGTGTACCTGTGATGACGCTACTGGACACGAAGGCAGCGCTGCTGCTGCTGCTGCTGCTGCTTCTCTACAACACAGGTGAGTTTTGCATCTGTATTGGTCAGCACTTTATGCATATATTGTCTACATATAGCAGGGCACCAGTCCTGCCTCGTCTGATAATCTGAATTATCCTAAGCTTTTGTTTCTAGAGAGGATAATGTTAGGTAAATGGAGACATGCAACTAATGTGGTATTTTATTGTGGTAACGTTTCGCTCTCCAGGAGCTTTGGTAATGGTTTGGCAAAGCTGAGAGCGAAACGTTGCCACAATAGTGTCACGTTAGTTGGGTCTGTCCATTTGCCTACCAGTATTACATTAATGTAAGCTAACTGCAGAATTATATACACATAAAAGTCACTGTGTATTTACCTAGACGTGGATGTCTGTGTGTATATATGCCTAGAGGTTTGTGTATATACGCCGAGAGGCGTATATTTGTCTTTGTATATTCACTAAAAGATATCTCTCTCATTGATGAACTGACTTGGTAAATCTCCTCCAGTCCAACCTTAGATAAATATGGTTGAATAGATACCACAGTTACAAAATACAGCAAGGCCTTCACAGTACTAACTATACACACAGTTTACCATGTACGTTTTCAGTCGTATTTACAACAAATGGCATAGCTTACACAGGCTCTGCATGAGACTTGACTGGAGAATTTATTTTGTGGAGAAGCGCACAAGTTATCAATTTTTTTCTCTAAATTGGCTATAAAGAGGCCAGTAGAGAGAAAAAAATATTCCACATGAAATCTCAGACGATAGTGACTGACTTGAGCTGATGCATCAGACAATAACAAGAGTTTATTTTTTCTTGGTTCAGTTTCTCTTTCCTTCCCTTCAAAGTCTCTTTTTTTTTTCTTTGCATTTCACTTTTTTCTCCCCTAATGTTGATACTTAGTTTTCTCTTCCCAGTTTCCCACTGTTTCTCTCCCCCAGTTGCTGAAAGTTTATAATTTATTCAAATGCCTCTATGTTCTTGGAGATAAGTTTATTCCCCTCTCCCTTCGTTTGTAAACTTATTCCCCACTTCTTCCCCACCACCCCATTTCTTGTTTTAAAAAAAAAAGGCACAATACCGTGATTGGAACAATACACAAATAACTCGCACATAGAGAGAAGCTTACGACGACGTTTCGGTCCGACTTGGACCATTTACAAAGTCATTCCCACCTAGTGTGACTTTGTAAATGGTCCAAGTCGGACCGAAACGTCGTCGTAAGATCCTATCATTTCCCCACTTCCTTCCTACTGCCCCGTTACTTTCCACCACCAGAAACTCCCTTCGCTTTTCAATCTAAATTCAATTGTCTTTTCATCTCTACAAGATTTAAGCTTTTTTTTACGTTCCTGTCGGTTTCTTAAGCCATGATAAGAGGCATGGAGAGGTTGAGGAAGGGAGGAGGAGGCAGTCACAGCATCTGGTTGCTGCCTCTCACTTCACAAATCAGTGTTATTGTGTGGCCTTTTATGTCGATCACTCCCTCCCTTTACTCAGCCTTCAGTTCAATGGCGCCTTTTGTAACAGCCTTTTTGGAAGACTTTTCTGGTCGGCCTCTGAGGGATTCTTTTGTAGTTGGCTTTGGTGTTTTTTAGTGAGTTACTTACCGCGTCGCTGCATTTGTTACCGTCCCCCACCTGCTTTTGTTGAACTCTCCCCGCCTGCTTTTACTAGTGGTATGATCTAGTCTATTGTCTTGTCGGTCAGTTGTTTGTGTACATGTCTAGGGTTGGTTATGGTCGGGTTAGGCTGCTGTTGCTCCTTCCTATTTAACAACTTAACATTTCCGATAATTGTTCTTAATTTCAAGGGCTTTGTTGTAGTTTGAAATTATATACAAGGTCCGTCTCTCCGACTTTCTCTCCCAGTTCATAATACTACTCTAAAGAAATACTTTCCAACATGACTAGCTATCTTGTCTTCAGCTTAAAAGTATAAACAATAGCCCTCGCTGCATGCATTTCAATTAGCCTCTCTCTATCCGCCTTTCCAGTTCATCTGAGAGTCTTGTACGTAGTAATTATGACTCTGTGATTACCACATGCCAATGATTTAGGATTGATTATTATTATAATCAAGGGGGAAGCGCTAAACCCGGAGGATTATACAGCGCCTGGGGGGAGGATGTGGAAGGCATTCAGGCTTAATTCGGGGAACTGGAGCACAGATCCAATTCCCTAAATCAAGAGCCCCTCACCAACATCAAGGAGCCTTCCTTGAGGGGATTTAGGATTGAGAGAGTAACCGCCTCTAACCAAGACTGACCGACTGATTACATCAAATTTACTAATGTCTTCAGCGTTGTGCTCTCTTGTATTCGACTGTAGAAGCCTTTTGTGCAGGCGAAACTTTAAGGCATTAAAGATATCTAAATGTTGCACGTTATATTCATCAACTTGTCGGTATTGTATACCAATGTATACCATTCACTTCATAGAGTTGTATGGTATAGTTTCCTTAGTCTGCCCTCGTAGTTCAGTCCTCTTGGTTCCAGGAATAGATTATTTGCAAATTTCTAAACTTTCCTAAGCTTCTGATTTGTTGAATGAGAAGCAGACTCTGTGCTGGTGCTACATGCTCTGATAGATTTGACATACCTCATGTAGTGTGACCTGAAGTATTCTTCATTTTAGAAAGGGGAAAACACAGAACGGGTGGGGTTTCAACCCATGGCGAGTGAATCGTAAAACTCCAGCCCAGTGCGTAAGCCTCTGGGCCAGCTGGCTACGATAAGATTAATCCAACTGGCCTGGAGTTTTACGACACACGCGCAGTAGGTTCAAACCCCTTCCATTCCGTGGTTTGTTTACAGTCGTGTTATTAAGATTTTGTGAGTTTAGAAAGGGATTCTTAGGCTCGCCTTACATACACGTATATCGCTTAGGTTGTGCAGTTTTCACGCTCAGCGATATACTCGATGTAGTGAAGAATTAGACACGTGTGCAACATCTAGGAATCTTTATTTGTAAACGTTCTGCCATCAATACAAAGTCAAGGTCATAATGGGGAGAATATGGAACTAAGTACAAAAGACGAGGAGTTGGTGATGAGCATCGTAGACTAGAAGAATGTGAAGCACAGGCAGGAAGACTGTTGTTTATATTGTGGCGTTAGATGAGGGAGGTGCAACAGACGAAGACATTGTCACTGGTAGGCGGGATTCCCTAGTGGAAGTAGGTTATACCCACTAGTAGGGAAGAAAATTGTGATGTCTTCTGAATCAAGATTCATTGATATTGCTGTGTCTAGTAAGTTGTAATGTTTACGTCTAGATTCTTCTTAATACTTGTAGTTTCTGCTCAAAGTTGTAGTGTTCCTGGTTTTTCTTCCCCTTCCTGTATTTATAAGCAGATTTGAACGCCATTATTCTCCAGTGTCAAGATTCTTGGTATCTGTCGGTCCCGACCACCTTGTAAACACGACCTGTCGTCTGCTTTTATTTTTCAGTCACTTTGCATCATCTGCAAACGTAAGTTGACAAGTTTCAACTCATTCTGGCAAGTCATTTACATAAATTAGCACAAACACTTTTCAGAATTGATCCTTGGGAGGAAAGTCTCTCTAAAGGATCAGAGGTCCGTGATTTGATTCCCGGAATAAGAGGAGCCACGAGGATCAATAATCCATAAATGGATCTCTGGGATGAAAGTCCTCCAGGATCACTAACAGGAACATTGCTTCTTACAAGTATTATAATGCTTTTTGTAATGCTGGTAAAATTACTGACAACATGTTAGGCAAAAGGACACATGTGCAGCTAATGTGACATATTACTGAGGGAACGTTTCGCTTTATAGGAACTGTAGAGAGAAACGTTGCCACAGTTAAATGTCGCAGTAGCTGCACTTGTGTCCTCTTACCTATGATGCTTGATGCCTTGCGTTCGAAATCCAGGAGGAGGAATCTCCAATTCCTTGGATGAAGGGCCTTTTAATAGTGCTTCGTTAATATATATAGCGGAAGACTGTCACAGGCTTTCCCGCAGTCAAGGAACACTCAGTCTAACCTTCAGTCTTCTTCATCTCCGCTATAGTTAGAAACATTCTGCAGGTTTCGGTGTCTCTCTTCAGTGTTTATACGCTGATGCTGAGGAAGAGCTCTTGATCCAGGGAATTGGATGTGCGCTTCATTTTCTTGAAGAAAATCAGATTACCATAGTGTTTGTAGTTACAACAGCAGAACTGTGCTGGTAGTGTCCTGTCTTCAGAATTTACTTTAACTCGTATTTTCGGGTTTAAAGTATTCTTGGCTGGTGGTGAGAAAGTTGTGTAACTTCAATAATCATAGCATAACCGATAGGCTTCAAACCACCCCACCATAAACCAACCAACCACATCTGTGTTTACTTTCTATCTCATGAATTATTGACCATCATTTGTGACTTCTAACAGAGCACAAGTACTAATTTCAAGTGAATTCAAAAAGTTGAAGATTGCTTTATTTAGCATATCTGATAGTGACGTTGTGTTTCCTTCTCCTACTCTAGTTGCTTCCTTAATATACTGATGCATTATAAAAATATTTAATATAGTAAGAAATTTTGAGTATACACAGCCTATGAGGCTGGACTGTGTGTGCGTGTGTACTCACCTAGTTGAGGTTGCAGGTGTCGACTCCGAGCTCGTGTGTGTGTGTGTGTGTGTGTGTTTGTGTGTGTTTGTGTGTGTGTGTGTGTACTCACCTATATGTAATTCCAGGGGTCATTTCATGGCTCCTGGCCCCGTGTGTGCATGTGAACGAGCATATATGGGGTTGCAGGGGTCGATTCATAGTTCCTGGCCCATGTGAGTATTCACCTATATATGGTTGTAGGGGTCATTTCATAGCTCCTGGCCCCGTCTGTGTTTGTGTACTCACCTGTAAGTGGTTGCAGGAGTCGATTCATAGCTCCTGGCCCAGTGTATGTTTGTGTACTTGTCTATATGTGGTTACAGGGGTTGAGTCATAGCTCCTGGCCCTGGATGTTGAGTCATAGCTCCTGGCCCTGGATGTGTATGCTTGATATATTCCTTGGGTTTTCTTAATATTT